TGAAGTGGAGAAAGCAGATTAAAGAGATGGGATCGTTAAGGAAGGCAGCCGCCTAAACCAAGGACTGCATCATCTACAGGTAGGGAAGTGAGGCACTTGGGTTAGAGCAGAGATATGGGCTAGGGAAGAGGAGAGGGAAGACAAAAGGAAGGGAGAGGGAGAACTCACAGAGGGCATGGCAGTGTGAGGTGTTTTGGGGTAGAGTTTCTGCATCTACTAGGTTCAAGGAAAGCAATTCCTCACCCAGGAAAGGCCAGGCTTCGTGTTTATGTCATTAACCTGTGGACCTTGAATGAAGTAGAGAATTCATTCATTGAGTACCCAGTGCCAGCCAATAGGCCAGACCCTGGGGATATAAAAGTGAGTAAAACAGGCCCAGTCTCTGTCCTTGGGGAGCTTACTGTCTAATGGGGGAGAAAGACATCAGTAAGTAAACCCAGTAATCTGTAATTATAGTGATAAGTTGTGACATCAGATGTAATGAGAGCTATAAAGACAGTAGTTGCTGACCAAGAAATCTTCAGATTGCTCTAGTTTCCCAGGTTCCCCTGAGGCTGGAAGGGGGATATTCTTAATAGGGATCAAGATGATGATGCATCCTGGAAGAAATTTCACATACATAAAAGGCAAAAACTATTTAGGTAGGTACATTTGTTTCATGGGATATTTTATCAGCTTTTAAAAATAAAATTTAGGCCGGGCGCGGTGGCTCATGCCTGTAATCCTAGCTCTCTGGGTGGCCGAGGCGGGCGGATCGCTCGAGGTCGGGAGTTCGAAACCAGCCTGAGCAAGAGCGAGACCCCGTCTCTACTATAAATAGAAAGAAACTAATTGGCCAACTAATATATATAGAAAAAATTAGCCGGGCATGGTGGCTCATGCCTGTAGTCCCAGCTACTTGGGAGGCTGAGGCAGGAGGATTGCTTGAGCCCAGGAGTTTGAGGTTGCTGTGAGCTAGGCTGACGCCACGGCACTCACTCTAGCCTAGGCAACAAAGCAAGACTCTGTCTCAAATAAATAAATAAATAAATAAATAAATAAATAAATAAATAAATAAAATTTAAGGGGCCGGGCGTGGTGGCTCACGCCTGTAATCCTAGCTCTCTGGGAGGCCGAGGCGGGCGGATTGCTCGAGGTCAGGAGTTCGAAACCAGCCTGAGCAAGAGCGAGACCCCGTCTCTACTATAAATAGAAAGAAATTAATTGGCCAACTAATATATATAGAAAAAATTAGCCGGGCATGGTGGCTCATGCCTGTAGTCCCAGCTACTTGGGAGGCTGAGGCAGGAGGATTGCTTGAGCCCAGGAGTTTGAGGTTGCTGTGAGCTAGGCTGACGCCATGGCACTCACTCTAGCCTAGGCAATAAAGCGAGACTCTGTCTCAAAACAAAACAAAACAAAAATAAAATAAAATTTATTTTGGTAAAGTTTATGTAAATTAACCCATATTAAGTATAAAGTTCAGTGAGTTTTGACAAATACATTCTTATAATTTGTATAATCACAATTAAGATACAGAATATTTTCATCACACCCCAAAAGTTCCCTTTTTTCACCTCTAGAAATTCCATTTAGTTTTTATATATTTTTCTTCTTTCCTCATTATGTTCATGTTTTCTTTTCTTTTTTTTTTTTTTGAGACAGAGTCTCACTTTGTTGCTCAGGCTGGAGTGAGTGCTGTGGTGTCAGCCTAGCTCACAGCAACCTCAAACTCCTGGGCTCAAGTGATCCTACTGCCTCAGCCTCCCGCATATTTTCTTTTAAATACCCAACTATAGTTAGAATATAATAGCTGTTCTATCATATTTATCTGCTAATTCTATCATTGCTGTCATTTCTGGGTGGTTTCTGTTGACTGATTTTTCTCCTGGTTGGTTTTTTCCCTGCTTCTTTGCATACATAGTAATTTTTGATTGGATGCTAGGATATTACATTGTTGAATGTCTACATTTTATAGTAGACCTCCCCTTAAAGGGAAGGTCTTAGGTCTTTGTTTTACCAGGGAGTTAATTTACTTTCAGATTAATTCGATATTTGTTATTCTTTTTAAGCTTTATTAAGCAGGTCTAGAGTATATTTTACTCGAGGGCTAGTTTAGACCTTTTAGTAAGGTTTGACTCTTCTGTGGTCTCTTCTGAACATCTTGGGTGGTCACTGAGGTATTTCTCCTCTAATTGGTCAGAATGAACATTTTCTAGCCCTGTATGAGCTCTGGCAATTGTTCAGTTACATCTCTTCAATTGTTCTTTGCTCAGACTCAGCCACATTAATATTCAGCAAAGACTCAAGACCCTGTGCATATTTTTGGAGCTCTTTGCATACCTTCTTCCTTTTTGGAATTCTGCATTGCAACTTCCAGCTGCCTCAGGTTCCATCAACTCCAATATCTGTATCCTCAACTCAGTGAGACTGCCATGTTCTGATTTTTATTATCTGGAATGTACCTCTAGGCAGAAAGAAAGCCAGGGCAATTGTAGAAAATCTAGTTTGTTTTCTTTCTCAGTTCTGTGCTGCCTGTTGTCCAATGTCTGAAAACAGTTGTTTTATGTGTTTTGTCTAGCTTCCTACTTATGTATGGCAGAAGGGTAAGTCTGGTCCCTTCACCATAGTCAGAAAAAAAAGTTCTCTGTTTCACTGGAATTTGATTAGCATAGCTGGTCTTTGAGAAACTGATAAACCTGACAAAACGGTGTTTGTAAACCTAAAGTTCCTCAACTGGGGTGACTGTACTAAGAATAGTGTCAACCTGGGAGACCTTTTTTGGGCAGCCAACAGCCTTGTCCAGGTTATATCTCACATCCAAATTTCTTACACAAAGGTTGCTGCTGTTGAGTAAGTGAATTATTGAATGAACATAATTAAATTTAAGCATTGTCTTTCTAGGACTCAAAAAAAAGGCCTGACTGATTTGCTTTATTCTAAGAATTTACTAACTCCTTGGTCTATGAATCTGTTGGCCAAGAAGTTATCTAATCATATTCATCATGAGAAACAAGACTAATTTGTCAGAGAATGAATGTTCATCATATGTGTGGTGAAAGCTTGCTGATATTCTCAGTAAGGAAAAATAACTCACAAAGCAGTAACCTGTAACCACTTCATACTTTCTTTTCGAAAGCATAGTGTAAGTATAGATTTTTGAGCATGATTCTGGATCTAGATTGCCTGGGTTCAAATCCTACTTCTATCATTAACTAGTTATATAACTTTGGGCAAGTTATTTAAACTTGTTGAACCTCAATTTTCTTGCTCTGTAAAGTGGAGATAATAATAATATATGACAGATATCCGGAAAGTATCCAGCCATTGTTAATATAATGAGAATGATTATATAGCTGGCTACTTTCTGAACAGCCCTTGTATACCTCATAGGACTGTTGTGAGGATTAAATAATAATATACGTAAAATGCCCTAAACCAGTGTCTGACACATGTGAGAGTTTAATAAGTACTAGGAATTATTATTAAGTTATTTAGGAGTATGTGCCTTGATTATATATCTCTTATAAAATAAATTATTTTTTTTCCAGGGACAGGGTCTTGCTTTGTCACTCAGGCTGGAGTGCAGTGGCCCAATCATAGCTAATTGTAACCTCAAACTCCTGGGCTCAAGTGATGCTCCTACTCCAGCCTCCTGAGTAGCTGGACTACAGGTGTACCCCACCACGCTCAGCTAATATTTTTATGTTTTGTAGAAATGAGAATCTCACTATGTTGCCCAGGCTTGTCTCATAAAATGAATTCTTTATATGTCTTTGGTATGGCTAATTACTTATTTTTAGATGATAACACTTCTAATGTAGGATTTCTGAATAATAAGCTTTGAAAGAATAAAATTGCATACATGATGGTTATGAATAAATTTACTAAATGGCCATCATTTGCCTTTTAAAGGTACTAAGTCTCTAAAACCAGAGTTTTAGTAGTGATTATTCCTTATTTGTTTGGGGATTGTAGCTAAAAAAAAAACTGCCTTCTATTTAAGTGTTCTTTTCATATTGGAAAGATGAGACGGGTGTTTCTCAGTAGCCACTATTTTTAGAATTTGTGCTCTGGGACCACAATTGATATTTCTTCAAGGGAGCTAATCCCAGTCTCTTTTGTTATGAGGCTGATGTACATTCTTCTTCTACAATTTCTCCATAAGCCAAAGGAAGCTTCAAGATGCCTTTATTGTGGTAGGTAATTCAAAGGCCACTGAAAAGCTGAGTTTCAGTTTTGCCAAATTTCCCCTCTCAAAGAGGATTTCTCCTAGAACTAGCTATTTAAGGAAATTAAATGTATCTTTTTGTAGACATTTGGGCAAAAGTAGAACTAAACAATTTTCCCTGAGCCCCCAAAGTTATAAAAATCAAGTCCAGATTTGTCCCTGGAATTAAAAATATAAAAATATTAATGCTCAGTACCTATTTCATGAACACTATATTTTAAAAAACCTTTTTATTTGGAAATAATTTTGAGCTGACAGTTTTACAAGTTGCAAAAATAAGAATAGTATAAAAAACACTTGCATACCTTTTACTCAGATTCACCTATTAACATTTTGCTCAATTTGCCTTATCATTTGCATTCTCTCTTCCCACCCCCATATAAATGACCTAGCTTCAGATGTAACGTAGTGTCACTTCTGCTGCACTCTGTCATTGAAGCAGTCAAAAAGTACTGCCTAGGCTCAAAGGGTAGGGAAATAATCTCCAGAAACATGTGTATATGTTTGTGTGTGTCTACAGAAATATGTATATATAGTCACCAAATATGTATGTGTGAAAAAATGTATACATTATTTATTTATTTATTTATTTGACAAAGTCTGCCCAGGCAGGATGGAGTACAGTAGTACAATCATAACTCATTGTAGCCTCAAGCTCCTGGGCTCAAGCAATCCTCCTGCCTTAGCCTCCCTAGTAGCTGGGACAACAGGTACCACCATGTCCAGCTAATTTTTCTTGTTTTTTATAGAGATGTGGGGTCTTGCTGTGTTGCCCAGGTTGGATCTCCAATTCCTGATCTCAAGTGATCTTCTTGCCTCAGCCTCCCAAGTAGCTGGGATTACAAGCACACACCACCATGCCCATTTACAGTTTGTTTTTCCTGGACTATTTACAAGTAAGTTGCACATATCTTGGTCCCTTTCCTCGAAATGAAATCAGTATATACTTACTACAATTAGGTGTTCAAATCAAAAGGTACTGTATGTGAGGAACCACACCTGAGGAGCCTCAGTCACACCTGGACCTGATCTGGATGATTAACTCCTAGATCCCAAGCCTGAACTTGATGCCAGGATGGGAATTTTGGAGGAAGGGGTGAATATATCTTGCATCTAGAAGAATCTAAATTATTGTAACCAGAGGATAGACTGTATCACAACAATATTTCTGGAGATTATTCCCTCTGCCCTTGAACCTGGGCAGAACTTTGTGACTGCTTCAATGACTAGAATGCAGAAGTGACACTGTATTACAACTGAGGCTAGGACGTAAAAGGAGATACAGATTACGCTCCCTCTACTGCACCCTGCCCTACCCACCTCTCTCTTGTAGGATGCTCACCTTTGGAACCTAACCACACTGTTGTGAGGAAAGAGGAATTTCAGTAGGTATAATTGACAGCTCCAGCTAAGATCTTAGGAGACAACTAGCAACAACTAGCAGACATGTGTGTCAGCAAGACTTCAGAAGATTCCAGACCCTAGCTTTCAAGCCATCGCAGCTGACACTAAATGGAACAGAGGGCTGGGCGCTGTGGCTCACGCCTGTAATCCTAGCTCTTGGGAGGCCGAGGAGGGCGGATTGCTCAAGGTCAGGAGTTCAAAACCAGCCTGAGCAAGAGCGAGACCCTGTCTCTACTATAAATAGAAAGAAATTAATTGTGTGGTCATGCCCTTATGTGGTCAATTTCTACACGCCTGGAAGCAGAGCGCCTGAGGCGGTGTGGATTGCTCAGGTAGGATGTCGAAAACCAGCCTGAGCAAGAGCGAGACCCCGTCTCTACTTATTATTTTAATGTGAGATAAGAAAATTTATTTAATGGTCCACATACTTAACAGATATATATATTGTCCAATATATGTTCAGTATGATATATCATCGGAATTCATGATGACGCGAGTTTGTCTGTTAACCCTTGTTTCTGGGTACGATGGCGCATGCCTGTAGTCCCAGCTACTCGGTGAGGCTGAGCAGGAGGATTGCTGACCCAGGAGTTTGGAGGTTGCTGTGAGGCGGCAGGTTCTGATGCGTGCTTACACACCAAGCTACAACTGCTAGCCATGGCGAATAGTAGTTGGGAGAGAGACTGCACCTGGCGGTCGAAGGCAAATAAAGAGATAAAAATAAAGTACAAAGAATCGTCTCCGCGATTCTACGCGCACAAAGGCCTTTCTCCTCAATTACCGCGTAGGGAGCATCGAGCAGCATAGGAGAGAGCAGGGAGGGGCAATTTTGTCATACTCTACATCCACCATCCAATCACGCGCGAAATTATACACTCACTTCTGGAGTGATTCACCAACGTCCACTACATCTTATACAATCCTGAACTTTCATTCTATAGACAATTATAATGCTGACTAATTCATGGAAAGCCTTCACAATTCTAGAACTTAGCCTTACACCTATGAGGTTCCCTTTTACCAATACTTAACAGAGAGCTCGAGCTTATCTGCGTCCTATTCCCCTTACCCCTGTTTCGCCTTCCAGGTTCAGTTGAGTTAACCTAGGGGCATGATAGCAGTAGCGATCTTGGTGTTCCAGGCTATGCGAGGAAGAATTTACTGCAAAATTTAGGCTGGGCGCGGTGGGCTCACGCCTGTAATCCTAGCACTCTGGGAGGCCGAGGCGGCGGATTGCTCGAGTCAGGAGTTTGAAACCAGCCTGAGCAGAGCGAGACCCTGTCTCTACTATAAATAGAAGAATTAATGCCAACTATATATATAGAAAATTCGCTGGGCATGGTGGTGCATGCCTGTAGTCCCAGCTACTCGGGAGCTGAGGCAACAGGATTGCTTGAGCCAGGAGTTTGAGGTTGCTGTGAGCTAGGCTGACGCCATGGCATCACTCTAGCCTGGGCAACAAACGAGACTCTGTCTCAAAAAAAAAAAAAAAAAAAAAGAATTACTGCAAAATTTAATAGTGTAAAACAATGACAACATCTATTTTCCTTATGAACCTGCATTTTGGGCAAGGCTTAGTGGGAATAGCTATCCTCTGTTCCATTTATTTTTTATTTTATTTTTTTTTTTGAGACAGAGTCTCGCTTTGTTGTCCAGGCTAGAATGAGTGCCGTGGCGTCAGCCTAGCTCACAGCAACCTCAAACTCCTGGGCTCGAGTGATCCTTCTGCCTCAGCCTCCCGAGTAGCTGGACTACAGCATGAGCCACCATGCCCCGGCTAATTTTTTATATATAGTATCAGTTGCAAC